AGTTAATGCTGTTGTTTTTTTGTTGTTTATTGTATTACCTTTATAAATTGGCTATAAAATCGAATAAAACTACATTTTTTTTAAAAAGGTCACTTAAGTGGAAAACCCGCTCTTTAGTGCTAAATCAGATCAAACATCAATCTGGATAAAATCCAAATTGCCATTTGCTCTGATCTAAAGCTAAGGAGCAGGAAAAGGAGTGGGGCAAGGGGGAAACTGCTTGAACCCGTGCCTAGAAACCGTGAGACAAGAGGAAATGTGAATGAGCCCTGATTGGAAGCAGAGACATTTTTGCAGGCACAAACAGTATTGGAAGCTTATACAGTGGGACCTCGGGTTACATACGTTTCAGGTTACATACGCTTCAGGTTACAGACTCCGCTAACCCAGAAATAGTACCTCGGGTTAAGAACTTTGCTTCAGGATGAGAACAGAAATTGTGCTCTGGTGGCGCGGTGGCAGCGGGAGGCCCCATTAGCTAAAGTGGTACCTCAGGTTAAGAACAGTTTCAGGTTAAGAACGGACCTCCGGAACGAATTAAGTACTTAACCAGAGGTACCACTGTAACCATTCCAATATCACAATTCATGAGCACAAATAATCATGAATGCACAATGAACAGAACATCTTTGGTCCCCATGTCTGGTCTTTACTGAGCATTTGTTTTGATTTGTTTGCAAGACAACAATCATTCGCCCAAGCTTCATCCTGCTTTGCTTGTGGGGTGTTCTTACGACGTCCTGCTAGCAGTTTGTTCTTCCCACACTTTCCAATTCATTTCACTATCTCTTTCCAAACCACAACAAGACGGACTCTCTTTAAAAGCAGCTCTGGGCCCACCTATATCTCAGCTTAATGTAGGTTATGAAGCCCTTGTGCCTCCCTTTAATTCCCCCTCGTCCATGCGGCGTTCTCCTCCAGCTACGCCGCTTCCCTGAATCTGGAGATTCCTGATGTAATCAATGTCACTCCCCTATTTGGATTTTCACTAGGGTGACAGAGCGCTTTAATCTGTAATTGCGCAAAACTAAATTCCATGATACACATTTGAATCCTGCAAAATAACAAGAGCCTGGAGGCACCATAACATTTACTCTCCAGTCCTAACAGAAGCTTCGTGGGGAAATATCTGCATACAGAGGTCCCAGCTTCTATCCACAGCCTCTCCAGGTAAGGCTGCCAGGCAATAGGTAAAGGGACCCCTGACCATTAAGTCCAGTCGTAGCCGACTCTGGGGTTGCGGCGCTCATCTCGCTTTATTGGCCGAGGGAGCTGGCATACAGCTTCCGGGTCATGTGGCCAGCATGACTAAGCCGCTTCTGGCGAACCAGAGCAGAGCACGGAAACGCCGTTTACCTTCCTGCTGGAGCGGTACCTATTTATCTACTTGCACTTTTGACATGCTTTCGAACTGCTGGGTTGGCAGGAGCAGGGACCGAGCAACGGGAGCTCACCCCGTCGCAGGGATTCAAACCACCGACCTTCTGATTGGCAAGCCTAGGCTCTGTGATATTCCTGCCTGAAACCCTGGAGAGCCCCTGCCAGTAAGTGTAGACGAGACTGAGCCAAATGGACCAAGGATTTGACCCAGGATAAAGCACTTTGCTTTGTTCCTACTTGCCTAAAGTTAAGCTGAGATTTCAACCGGGGCTGTCCAGCTCATCGCCCCTGGTCTTTGTCACAGCATTCTACAGGCTATAGGCATGTTTAACCATTTACATATCCAGCCCTGAGTATTTACGGTGTGCACAAACTTCTAACAATTTCCAGATCTCAAGGAGGGAGCAGTGGGAGGTGGGATCTGTCTCCATCCATCAGTCATATTTTGCCGGTGGGCCAGGAGGCACTCCCTGACAGGCTGTTGTGATGTGAGGAAGACGTGAGTTGTCGCTCCACAGACACAGCTGGGGGCAGATGAAGGCAGTGAGCTAAGTGGCTGATGCATAATTGATGCTAATTGATCTGCCGGCCTCCAAAGGGCCGCAGATGCAATGCAAGGCCAGGCAGCAGCCAGGCAGAGCAGCAGGGTCTGGGCTCACCTCCCTGCTCTGCAGCTGCAGCTCCCAGACTTCTGAGCATGCTCCAGAGAGGGACTGCAAAAGAGCATTGTGCCATAGCTTCTTTGGCGGGGGGGGAGTGCTCAGACAGGAGTGCGTTCCAGCTGCCATGCTTTATTTAAGGATACCTTATACCAAGTCAAACCACTTGCCCGTCTATTTCTAATTTTGCATTTAGATTCCACCTTTTTTCTTTCCTCCAAGGAGCATACATGGTTCTCCCCCACCTCGCTTTTAAAAAATAAATTAATTAAATTTTCCATTTTAACAATCCAATGAAAACCACATTAAAACATTCCAAATTATCATACAATCAAAAAAGCCAAATAACCATGCCAAATTATATATCTTTGGGTGGCTTTCCATGCTCTGAAGTTCAGGGAGTGATGATCTAATAGTGTGCTGCATTCCTTAATTAGTCCAATACTCCCAATGAATATTTCTGATGTTGATCCTTCATCTATTTTTAACAGCCTCTGAGTTCGTTTAACAAGCGGGTTAGTCCTTTGTAGTTCTCTGTTGAAGGGAGAGGAGTGAAGAGGTGGGGGAAGGTAAAAACTCCATCGTGCTTTAGCTAGCTCCAGCTAAACAATTGTCTTAGCTATGCAAGAAGCTCAGCTCGGCAGGCCGGTAGTGGTTTTCCTGTCTGCTTCAGTTGTGGTGAGCTAGCTTCTCACCTCAGCTGTGCAAAATGCAAACATTTATAACGCAAAGCAAACAATATGCAAAGGTGGGGGAGGAGGGCTTAGCTAACCTAAAAAGGTAATAAAGTGTATCTCTGCCTGTTGATTGGGGAGCAACTGAGGGCAAGCTTGCAGCTTCAGTATAAGAATGCTTGGAAGACAATAGGGGGCGGCCAGTCTTTGGAAGCTATTCCACTGGCTAACTCTGCGCAGATTTTGCAATAAACCTTTTTCTCTGTGGAACCCACCCTGGTGTATGGTTGACTCCTTCATGCTAACAGCAAGGGCACGAGGTGACAGGATCCGGACCCCTTAGGATCAGATATCCTAACACTGTGAAATATTTTAATTTTCTTCTTCTTCATTTTCCTGTTGTAATCCAGCGTTCTCCCAAATGAGTTTTTATTGGTTTATCATTATATATACATAGAAACAAATACAAAGTATAATACATAAATTACACGTGTCATATCCAGTCCATAAATCATACATATATTACATAGTTGTTTTAAGCTCCACCGAGCCTTAGACTTCCCTCCACTCCTTTGGTAAGTATCAGATAAATTCTGGAATCACGTATTTTATCTCCTTTACTTATTAGTCGTTCGCTGTTAGAGTTATTCCAGTCCTGCCAGTGTCGTCAAAGTTCTACAATTAGTTCTTATATACGTCAAATATTTGTTCCAATTGTCATGAAATTTCTGTTTGTCCTGATCCCTTAATCTTCCTGTTATTTTAGCTAGCTCAGCATAGTTTATCATCTTGACTTGCCAGTCACTTATAGTAGGTATTACCTCCATTTTCCAGTTTTGTACTAACATGGTTCTTGCGGCTGTTGTGACATATAAAAATAGATTTTTATCTTCTTTATCTTTATCTTTTTAATTTCTTTGCCAGTTATTCCTAGCAGGAAGGCTTCAGGCTTTTTTGGAAAAGTATATTTCAAATTTTTTTTAAGCTCATTGTAAATCAGTTCCCAAAAGCCTTTCACCTTACTGCATGTCCACCACATATGGTAGAAGTCACCTTCTACCTCTCCGCATTTCCAGCATTTCTTATTCTTCAATCTATAAATCTTAGCTAACTTCACTGGCGTGAGATACCACCTATAAATCATTTTCCAAAGGTTCTCCCTCAATGCCGTACACGTCGTGAACTTCATATTAACATTCCACAATTCATGCCACATTACAAAATCAATATTGTGACCAATATCCATGGCCCATTTGGTCATAGCCTCCTTCACCTCTTTGTCTTTTGTGTACCAATCCAATAAGAGATCATACATCCTAGACAAAGTTTTATTTTTACCTTCTATAACTTCCACATTAAATTTAGATTTTTTATCTTCAAATCCTAATTTCTTTTTGTCTTCTTTTAGCAAGTCGTTTACCTGGTGGTATTGCAACCACCCTGTAAATAAGTTCTTTACCTCTTCATAGGGTTTAAGTTTTATGCCCTGATCGGTTTTCCTGGTAAGTTCTTCATAAGTGGCTTTCCCCCCCTCCATATTAGCTTTTTTGACAGTCAGCACTTCTATTGGTGAAATCCACCAGGGTGTTTTCTTTTCCAGCAAATCCGTGCCACCCGTACCTGTTATCGAAGCCCTCTAAATCCAAAATATCAGTATTTTCCAGTTTTATCCAATCTTTCACCCACATTAAGCACGCCGCTTCATAGTATAAACTCAAATCTGGTAATGAGAAACCTCCTCTCTCTTTTTTATCTACCAATATTTTCATTTTTATTCGCGGTCTTCTACCCTGCCAAATATATCTCGTCAAAGCCCTTTGCCACTCTTTGCCACTCTTTGCACTGTTTCAGCCCCTTAATTACTGGAATAGTTTGAAACAAAAATAGAATTCTGGGCAAGACATTCATTTTGATAACTGATATCCTCCCCAAAAAAGAAAGTTTCAGTCTCTCCCAGATTTCTAGATCTTTCTTAATACTCTTCCAAGTAGCTTCATAGTTATCTTTATATAAGTTTATGTTTTTAGCTGTAATCCACACTCCAGCGTTCTCATCTACTTTCTGTAATCCAGCGTTCTCATCTACTTTCACTCCCCCACCTCATTTAATCCCCACAACAACCCTGTGAGGTAGGTTTGGGTGACAGGCAGCAACTGACCCAAGGTCCCCCAGAAAGAGCTTCCTGGGTGAGTGGGAATTCGAACCTGGTCTTTCCCAGGTCCTCGTCACTCTAACCACTATGTCACATTTAGCTTGACACTGATTTCAGCCAAGGAGTCCTACCTGGAGATGCTGCCCAGGGGTTGAACATGGCACCTCCTGCATGCAAAGCAGATGCTCAGCCACTGAGCTATGACCCTTTCCTTTCATTTATGAAGTTTTATTTCCCTTGAGAAAGTGTCACCCTCCAAATGGAACTGGGAATGAAGGACACACACAGCGTCTTCATCTGCAGCTTAGAAGAGAGAAACCACACTTTCTTTTGTCAGCAGCTTTCACGGGCTGGAGGGAATCTACTTGGTGAGAGGTTTTATGTGTTGGACTCAGCTGGCAGAGACAACTGGGAACCTGCAACTCCCATTAGCCCCAGACAGCACAGCTGGTGCATCCAGATGCTCTTAGGGCTGAGGTGTGGGGGTGGAATGGATGGAGAAATCCATGTCACATGCCAAAAAAGACTTTGCCTGGAGACAAATGGTCTGTGTTTACTTTCAGAGAGTTGAGGGTCCTTTGAAAGAGGGATCCTTCTACGGTGGTACCTCAGGATACATACGCTTCAGGTTACATACGCTTCAGGTTACATACTCTGCTAACCCAGAAATAGTGCTTCAGGTTAAGAACTTTGCTTCAGGATGAGAACAGAAATCGTGCTCCGGCGGCGCGGCGGCAGCAGGAGGCCCCATTAGCTAAAGTGGTGCTTCAGGTTAAGAACAGTTTCAAGTTAAGAACGGACCTCCGGAACGAATTAAGTACTTAACCCGAGGTACCACTGTACTTAGATGTGGGTAGACTAAGCAAACAGGTCCGGCAGGTTTCTGTAAGGCTTCAAAGGCCTGTAAAACTTGCTGGACCAGATAATAACAGCGGGAAAAGGAAAAGGCATTCCTGCAGAATGGACAACAATGCCTTTGTTCATCTTACCACTTTTGACTCTTAAAAAAAAGAACAACGATTGTCTCTACTTTCCGCATCGCAATTTCCACGCATGCCTGGACGGTGACCCGTTGCTGCTGCAATCCCATTTAGCACACCTCTTCCCCATTAACCTTGGCAGAGCAGCGCAGCAAAACAGCAGCTGGAACTCTCTGGAGAGCCAGCTAATGGACAAGGAAGGCAAAGGGCAATGGTTTTAACTGGGCCGCCTTTAACATTACCCTGAAATCTTGGCTTTAAAACTTTTGCCTGGAATCACGTAGCCGTGCAGTTTCAGTTGACGGCACCCGACTCAGGGTGCTAGCATTGCTCCCGTTTACTGTAGGGTGCCAAGGGGGCAGGATCAAACCAGGGCCTCCAGCAGCCAGCCTTTGGTGCCTCTCCACTTGCACCACCAGCAACCCTTTGAGAGGGATTTGTAATTTAAAGAAAAAGGGGATGAAGAGGCAACATAATAGAACCATAACAAAAACTGCATGGTGTAAAGAAAAAAGTTGAGAGAAAAACGTTTTTCTCCCTTTCTCCTAACTCCTAGAACTCATGGACCTCAAGTGAAGTTGAACACTGGAAAATTGGGGGCAGATCAAATAAAGGACACGCAGCACATCTGTGGAACTCCACCCCACCCCACTTGGATGGCTTTAAAAGAGAATTGGAAAACTTTATGGAGGATAATAATACTGATGATGATGATGATAAATTATTTATACCCCGCCCATCTGCCTGGATTTCCCCAGCCACTCTGGGCAGCTCCCAACAGAATACAGTGGTACCTCTAGATGCGAACGGCATCTGTTCCGGAGCCCCGTTCGCATCTAGAAGCAAACGTAACCAGCAACGGCACGTCTGCGCATGCACGCATCGCTTTTCACCGCTTCTGTGCATGCGCGTGATGTCATTTTGAGCGTCTGCACTGCGCAAGCGGCAAAACCCGGAAGTAACGCACTCCGTTACTTCCGGGTTGCCGCGGAGCACAACTCGAACACGCTCATCCCGAAGCACATTCAACCCGAAGTATGATTGTATTAATAACAACAAAGCGATAAAACATCAGACATTAAAAACGTGCCTAAACAGGGCTGCCTTCAGATGTCTTCTAAAAGTCAGATCGTTGTTTATTTCCTTCACATCTGAAGGGAGGGCGTTCCACAGGGCGGGCACCACTACCGAGAAGGCCCCCTGCCTGGTTCCCTGTAACCTCACTTCTTGCAGTGAGGGAACTGCCAGAAGACCCTTGGAGTTGGACCTCAGTGTCTGGGCTGAATGATGGTGGGTGGAGATGTTCCTTCAGGTATACTGGGCCGAGGCTGTTTAGGGCATTAAAGGATGGGGCTATTAATGGCTACTAGCCATGATAGATAGGTTCTGCCTCCACAGCTGGAGGCAGTGATGCTCCTGAATACCAGTTGCCAGGATCTTCAGGTGAGCAGAAGGCTGTCATGTACTCATTTCCAGCTTGCAGGCTTCTGGTTGGCTACTCTGAGAAAGGACCCCAGGTTTTGGACACTCCCCTCCCCACTTTCTCTTCCTGTCCAGGCCTCTTTTACAGTGTAAAGGTAAAGGGACCCCTGACCAGTAGGTCCAGTCGTGGCCAACTCTGGGGTTGCAGCGCTCATCTCGCTTTATTGGCCAAGGGAGCCGGCGTACAGCTTCCGGGTCATGTGGCCAGCATGACTAAGCCACTTCTGGCGAACCAGAGCAGCACACGGAAATGCCGTTTACCTTCCCGCCGGAGCGGTACCTATTTATCTACTTGCACTTTGACGTGCTTTCAAACTGCTAGGTTGGCAGGAGCTGGGACCGAACGACGGGAGCTCACCCCGTCGCGGGGATTCGAACCGCCGACCATACGATCGGCAAGTCCTAGGCGCTGAGGATTTACCCACAGCGCCACCCGCGTCCCTATTTTTACAATGTAAGGAAACCATAAAGAAGGGACTGTGAATGCCTTAGACTTGATGGAAGGTCTCCCCCTCCTCTGTGGGACACCTATCCAGAATGGCTTCGGGTGTTGGATATTTGGGTGGTTTCCCTGGGCTCTGCCAACTTCCCAGAGGCTCTGTGCCCGTGCACTCTCTGTGGATCAGCTGTGGGGGAGATGCATTTAAGCTCCCTCTTCCGCATCATTAGGGCGCACTGTGTGCAGCATTATGACGCATGAATGGCTTCAATTATCTGAGAAGCGACACAATGGCCCCATAAGAAATGCATGTTGCGGGTGGCGCTGCTCTGCTCCAAAGCCCCGGTGCTCTCCGCATCATGTTTTATTGATAAATCAAAACAGCCAAGCTAATAATAGCCGCTCTGAAGGACAGCTTCATTCTGAGCTGCCAAACCCATCCCCAGGAATCAGCTTTGAGCCCGAGCAGTGACACGGTCAGATTTCTAAATTTCCTTTTGCAATTTATATCTTCTCAGCATAGACCAATAATAGTTTCTGGGGATTTTTTTTGCCCTTGAACCTAGACATTCAACCCAAAGCACCAAATAATGCATTGGTTATGGGACTCCAACATCAGTTTCACATCAGAATTGTGTATATGCAGGATGGTGGATGATGGATGGGCAAAGGACTCAGTTTGGACCACATCTGAGAAAGAACTCTAACTAATGAAGGGATCGAGAGATCTCAGAGGAAAGCGACGAGCGGAGGCAACAGATCAAATGTCAATTTTTCTTCCCCTTTGGCTAATGTACTTTCTTTGCCCGCTCCATTAACTGTAAGATAGAGACATAATACAGGCTATTTAATTGAGCCTGTCAGAAAGCATTGACTTTGTCAGGTAATTCCATTATTCTCTGCTTTTCACCAATTCCAGAGAAGAGAGTTATCAAACGGTGTACAGAAAACTGCAGAGAACATCGGCTATTAGTTCACCTACTCTGACATGCCCTAACCTGGGGCTCTCCATCAGCCCCACCCACCATTAACAGACCTACCGTACCTGGGGCTACCTGGGAGTGGTAGCCCAAAACATCTGGAGGGCACTAGGTTGACAAAAGACAGATCTGAAACTGAGCTTTATGAGGAACAGGAGGAGGAGGTGGGCAGGAATGTTTAGCCTGAAGAAAAGAAGGCTAAGAGGATGGCTGAGAGCCATCCTCCAATATCTGAAAGGCCCTCCTCACGTGGAAGATGGAGCAAGCTTGTTTTCTGCTGCTGCAGAGGGGAAGATCCAAATCGGTGGGTCAAATGACAAGAAGGGAGAGTCCAGCTAAACATTAGGAAGAACTTCCCAGTGGTAAGAACAGTCAAAAGGACGATCGGGGAAGGTGGTGGACTCTCCTTCACTGTTCGTTTTTCAGCAGAGTTTGGATGGCCATTTGCCAGGGATCCTTTCACTTTGATTCCTGCGTTGCTGGGGATGGACTTGATGACCCTTAAGGTCCCCTCCAACGCTACAATTCTACAATTCTAAAGGACTCTCTAGACATTCTTTTTATTCTGCATCCATGTGTCAGGAGTCCAGGTTCCCAGCTTGATAACACAGTAAGCGTAGGTAATTAAAAAGGAGAATTTATTGCAAAAACAAACAGATAGCTCCAGACAGCTCTAACAAAGCCTCTGGCAGTATTACTCAAGATGACCCTTCTGAAGATTCCTTCCAGTGTCTACAGAATATATTGAACCAACGTCTCTTGCATCTCTTGTTTCGCTTCCTGTCTAAAAACCCTCCCATTCGCCGACTGTGTGAACTTATTAGATCTGTTCCAACCTCTTCCTGTTCTGAGCTATCTCTGAGTCTATTCGCTTGTGTTTGTGCTTCCAGCGAGCTTTGGCTGTGTTCTAGCCTGCTCTCAATTACTGCCTTATCAGCTTGCGCGTCAAGGTCAGGAAGAGCCAAATTCTGCAGCTGCCAGCTCTCCCCTGTCTGACTAATATCTAAGCCTCTCTGTTCCTGGCTGCTTTCTGCTGTTGGCTGCAAACTTTCGCTAGGAGCTGGCTCATTCCTGACACTACGATTATTGCTGCTCATGACGGCACAAGGCACAGTTATCCACAATCCCACTTCCAATACTGCTTGTGCCTGCAAATGTTTTGGGGCAGGCCCACTCCTTCACATCCAACCATCCTATCCCATCACCTGCTGCGGAAATCCCTTTTCCTACCACAAGTTTTCCAAGTTTTTTTGTTTTGCCCTGCTTTTGTTACATTATAGCACTGGCACACAGCCCACACCCTCCCCTGGGGCTTCCTGGATTCA